GTTAGACCCGTGGCTCCCTGGGATATGTAGTACACTCCGGTATTTCTTATGGTTGGCACTCATCTAATCTATTATCCAGTAGTTACTGGATAATATCCTGTCGATATTGATGAGATCAATCCAGGACTGATAACGTTTTCTTATGCCTTTCTTTTTTATTTAAATATTTTTTTTGTGTGCACTAGCAGTCTGTTTGGGATCACCAGAATGCTGAAAAATGAAGCTGTTCCCAGTCAGACGATTTAGTGGATCAAAATCTAACAGAACCTTTCTACATTCATAATAATAATAATAATAATAATAATAATAATAATAAGTCGTTTCATCTCAACATAAGATCTGTTTTCATTGATTTTCAGCCCAGTTCTTGTGTAATTTGGCATACTCCAACCTTTTCCCCCCTGTTTCCCTTCATGACAGCCACTGAGAACATTTCTGATGAAGATTCAGCAAACAGTAGATTGATCAACTGAAGGACAAGATACATCTCTTAGGTCCTGTGTTGGGTCTTTCTTTCTGTTGATTAGCTGTAAATCGTTTTATGCCTGTCACATCTTTTAATGTCCTCCACTGGCCCAGATTGCCCAGATTTTTTTAAGGGCACACTGCACAGTATTAACGATTTTCCAAGTTTTCAGCAAACAGTTCTTTGGGAAACATCAAACACTGCGTTAAACATGTGTTATCTTTGACATTTTTCATACATACAACTAAAGAAAATGATGCTAGTAACAAAGAGCCTAAAAATACCAATTTAAATTATGTTTAGACACAACGCTGATTCATGCCTCGAGTGAGGTACATTTCTTATACTTGAATGATTCATACAGTCAGTGTTAGTGAGTGGTTGAACAAAAAAATATGCCTCAAAAGCATTCGGGTTATGTCTACAACAAGTCCTCAGCCTTGGTCAAGCACATGGACTGGGCTACAAAATGAGTACAAAAAAATCAGTCAGTGTCCAAATAAAATTGTTGAAACCGTCAGAAAGACTAGAGAACTATTGCTTAAAAAAATTAAGAAAGTCTGGATCAGGAGGGGGGAAAAAATACAGAAAGGATCAGAGCACAAGCATAAAACCACAATAAGTGGCCAACTGTTGCACTTGCATGGAATAAAAAAAAATCCCAGCACCTGGAACAGAAAAATATGAAAAAAAAAAAACATACAGTTAAAAAAAATCAACAATCATGAATAATTAATCTGTGAAATTGAATATGAAGAGGATAGAAACATTACTACTTGGAGTGGACCAATAACGGTATTTTGTTTCAAAATTACATCCTACTGAGTTGTAACTACTGAAACAAAAAGTGTTACAATCACGCCTGCTCTCCCCTACCACATAATTTCGACATTACCTTTATATCTATCACCGGTTCCCAACCTTGAGTCATCACATAGGAAAAAAATCATAATGTCTGGGAAGTTTTGGTGATTTGTTTTTAAACTTTGGATATTCTCAACCAAAACACTGTTAGTCATCTGTTTGGGTGGCGAAAGGTTATGCTGGGTAGAGATGGATAATAGTAATTATAAAAAAAGACAGCGTTCCTGTTTGTCCAACGAATTAAGTTGCCATTCATGACTTTCAGGTTTTTGCATGAATTCAGATTTACGTGCCTCTTTAAATACTCGGATTTAGCGTTTAAATGTGTAGGTCCAGTGGCCTTCACAGTGGAGTTGCCAAAAATCCGACAGCACTAGAACGCCACGGTAACATGCTTGGTAACCGGGGCGGATCTATGTTTGATAGAGCTGGGCGTGGGCACTACTCTCCTCATCCCCTCCGCTCTCTCTGGGAAGCACATTGTTCAACGCGGGCACATTATAAGACCCAGGACCAATGAATGCCTTGGTGCAGTTTAGCTACTTAAAATTACACAGTTTCTTACAGTGAATAGGACGCAAATACCTGAAGAAACGGGGAAAGAGACTCGGAATATTTTGTGGCTTTTTTCCGATTTCAGCGGAGAAGCAAAACAATTGAAAGATTTTCTTCTTCCTCTCCGGTAGAAACGCCGCTCCTGTCGCCAATAGACCTCTGCTTGTTGTAAGTATACTGTACACATCTTTGCTTACGAAAAATGTCGGTTTTTTCCCCTCACCGAGAAATATGTCCTCTCTTAAGTGCTTTCAGTGTTTTGGGCACCGCTGGAGATTGCGGTCCTTACAGAAAAACAGGTTAGCTAGCTATCATAACATTTTTTAATTCACGCCCGGCGAGCTTGAACATTATCCTGCTTAGAACTCAGCCTTCTTTCTACCCTGCCTACATAGGATGATTTTTCCTCCCAGCCCCTGACTGTTTTAAGCCAATTATATATTATATATATCTGGTAAGCGGTCTTCCTTGAGTTTGGGTGTTAAAACTTGGTTATAAAGGGATAACATGACCATCCAGGATTTCCCCCCCGCTTTACCTCACTTTGAAAGAGAAACCGAAGACATTTGCAAGTGCCATTGCAATAGATGCTAATGTACCTCCGTCTTTTGTATTGTATAAGGAAAAGACTGGAGCAGGCTGTGAGGTTGCTGGTCTCGATAGTGGCGTCAGAGACAACTAGGGTGACGCCCCGTCACAGTGAATAAAAGCTATCACTGCGGAAGTGAGATTCCATTACAAGGCATTCACAAAGATGATCATTTCAAGTCTCGTATCTGATCAAAAATGGCTAGTAAGGTGAAAGAGATTTACAAAGACAGCACTAAACACTCAGCAAATGGCCATAGAAGCTCCTGGACAGTAAACAATTAAATGCATTCAGCATTCAAAGTAGTATCAAACATTTGAATGAGTGCCCTCTTAGGCAATACAACAGAAAGTGTTTCCCTCATGTGTTTTTCTTGGGGCTTTCTGGTATACGGTTTCTTTTTTTTTAATCCGCCACATCGTCACATTCGCTGACCACAGCATCTTCTGTGAAAGTCATAATCATGCAAGTGAATGTGCATCAGTCTATATGACTACGAGAAGGAGGCTTTGCAGCGATTCCGTGTGAGTAAATATTGGTGTTGGTGTCTGTAGCGTTTTGGCAAGTCAGCTGGAAAACAGTTGGAGGTGGTCCAGTGATTGAGGTGTGAGGTCAATGTGTCTTCGTTTTTTCTTTGAAGCTTTTTTATGCAGCCAAGCAGTAAGTGTGACTCTAAAAACCAAGATTTTACGAATAACACCGCTCCCTGCTGGGTTTCAGTATTGATGTGTGTGTGTGGGGGGGATGTTGAATGGACATTAGGTGTTTTTATGTGACCCAGAAGATGCTTTCTTTGCTTTCACATTGTTTCATGAACTACAACAACTCATTGAGATTTACCCAGAGCCCACATTTAGAGTTTTGGGGGTGTTAGGTGTCTAATGATAACCCTTGCATCTCCTCCAACCGGCAGGCTTTTGTGTGGAGGTCAGCCACTCTTTTTATCTCTGCTGCTGCCTCCACTGTGTCACCCTGTCCTACAAACTAAAAGGATGACCCAGTAGGGAAAAGGTCACTAGAGGCTAGTGGCTTTCAGAACAGCAAAAAGGCCTCTTTAGATAGTGAAACATTTAGAAATTTGGAAAGAAATGGTTTATTAAAAGAACCAAATTCAGCTTTGTGTTAAATTCTAGAGAAAAGAGTAAATCCTGTTTTTTACCTATGTTGTAGTCAGTTTGACCCTCCTACCAACTTCATAAAATCTGAACCAATGTCTTCACGTAATTGTGTTTCACTGGCCTGAGAGCAGAATAGCGCTTCATTCCTAAGCTGGTGGAAAACACTTAGTGTTTTGGATGCTGTTTAGAAGAATGATGTCACTGTAAAGCAAAGGGAGGGTGGGGTGGTTATCGAGACTTTAGGATGGGTCTCGGAGTCTCCGTATTCGACCGTGACACCTCCCTTGAGAGGGTCTCCTTACCATCATAGCTCCATTAAAAATCTATTATCTCTGCAGTGGGCTTGTGGCTCTGCCAGTATGGATCCTTTAACCAATTAAGCACTTAAATGGAGACCAGAGTGCATGTTGAGGAAGACGGTCATCCATGTACCTAGCTCCTTGTGTCACGTGTGTTGAGAAGATGAAAAAGATGCAATGAAGTTTGGCTTGGAGGATTTTCATTATGTTTAGCATTTTTCACTTTCTTGCTAGACTCTTCTCTTCTGTGTTTGTCATGCCCTTGGCATATATAGAGAGCAGTCTTCTCCCTCCCTTGCCAATGAACCCTCCTGCTACCATCTGAATTGCTGCTCTTTGCTTGCACCCTCCGTAAGCTGTCATGTAAGATTATCCTTTTGGTCCAGGCAAGGCTCTAGGGTTTCAAAATGCACTGTTAATTTCAGACCGGCGGTGGTGCACTATAAATAACCCTAAACTCAAACATGCTAAATAGTGGCCCTTGATCATATTAGAGAGCTGCTCTACAAAGGTTTTGGGAACTTTGGAATGAGATAGGTGCGGCCTGTGTGACAGCTGTGGCAGATTCATTACTGTTTTTTGTTGAATGACTAACAAAAGTCACCCTGCTGTAGGATAATTACTTTGGTCACATGTACACCGTGTGTAAAAAGGACACAGACAATTGCCACATCATGAATGCAAGTTTTTACATGTGTGCAAATAAGGGCAGCAGAGTTTAACCATATGCTGAGAGCAACTCCACTCGGGATTGCAGAGGAGAAGATGGGGATATATTGTGTTTGATACAGCTATACCCAACATACCCATCTGTGTGTAGAGGAGAGAAGAGCTCAGACAAAACGCTCTTTTGCTTAGTCCCTGAGTGTGGATGAAATTGATGTAACTACTAATGATTTTGACCTCCAGAGGCTGTGTCCTCGTCTTTCCTCTCTATCTACACAAAGACCCGCTCAGTATGAGCCCCTCCTGACAACAAGTGGCTGTAGAAACGCAGCACTGTCTGTGTCAGTGACTGATTTTGCTATTCATCTCCATATGTATATGTGGATTATTAATCAGCAGCTGACATGGCCTAGTTTGAGAGAAGACGGCTGTCTGCTTTCCCTCCTCTGAACTCCCAGTAGCGATGCATGGATGTGTTGAATTTGCATTTTTTTTAGGCTGTAAATATCACTGGCTTGGCAGGTGTACACTAGAGATCTGGTTATGTAGAAAAAATGCTGTAACCACATGTGTTAAATGTTGAAGAACTGTGTATGATGCTGTATTCGATAATGTAGCTATCAATCTTTTTTTGTTTTTGTTTGGCCTACATTCTTCATACTAATCAGTTCAGCGCACAAGTTATCACTTCCATATTGATGAATATCGGGTAAAAAGGAGGCATTTCATGCATATTTCTGTGTGAATCTCTCATAGGCTTTGGCAACATTTCATCTTTTCGAAAAAATCTCAACCCAGAATGATTTAGCTTCTCTTATTTCAACAGTTTTAGTGCTGTGACCCCATCTAGCTCTTTCAGGCTTGAGTTTCCCTACTGGCTAACTGACCAGGCCGCTACTGCCACAAATAGAATCCAATTCTGTGAAAAACAGTGTTTTTATTGTTAATTGTGAGGCAGCGAGTGAAGATAAGATGCACAAGTGCTCACCAGTGAGGCTTGTGGCATCTGATCAATCTCTGATTAACTAGAGGTGGGAATCACCATACATCCCACGATACGATATTATTGCAATTTTTTAAAATATTTTGCGATATTCAGATTCTGTACATGAAGGTAAACTTTATCAATATTCATTTGATCTAATATCAAAGTCTCACACTCAGTCTTTCTCTCATTTCAGTTTTATTGTTGACAAACTGAACGGTTTGTATTACAGTCTAGTCCAACTTAACTGAACGCAACCATCTGGTACAATTATAGCTATTCTGAACTATGCAATTTATGAAAACTATGCAGCCCCTTCAGCAACTGAAGAATTTGAAAGTAAATTAAAACAAAATATAATTTTACATTAAATAAAAACGTTTTAAACTTAATTAAAATAAAACATGTCTTAAATTAAAATAAGTAAACTGTCACATTTGGACAGTGAAGGAATGTCAGGATTCTTGCTCAGAAAAAGGATCAACATGCTCTGAAGTCAGAGCACAAAAACCTTTTTTGTAACAAAATATCGATTTCTGCTGTCCCTGTATCGATACATTATTAGCAAACAAAATATCACGATACTACACAGTATCGATTTTTCCCCCACCCCTATGATTAACAATAATGTTTAGATATGACAAAACAGAGCGAATACGTGGAACAGCTGACCAACAGTATGGTTGAGTCTTCAGTTTTAGTCATCAAGTGTTTCATCCTGTATGATGGCATATTGGTCATCCCGTCTTTTAGTGAAGTGAAGTCATATCAAATCTTTGATCTAAATGACTTGTCTATAGTTGAACATTTTATCTTGTGTTCACACTAAACACAAAATAACTGCCGATGAGTCTATTATTGTTGATCCTTGCCCTGTCTGGAGTCTCAGCAGCCAAAGGTGTTCCAGCGTCAGCCTGCCCCACACAAGTCTCTGTTCGCCACACAGCTGCTGTTTATTTAGTTAGAGGGGGCTCTAAGGAGCTAGACTGGCTCTGCTACTCCACCAGAGTCTGTAGTCCAGCCAGGGCAGGCTGCACTGTGTACCAGGCTGATTTATTTACACTGAGGGAAAAGGAAGCTAAATGTTTAACCACAAGTTTGAGGGGTCAGTATAATTCCCTTCCTGTTGTGTTTCAGAATTATGGCAGCGAGGGTGTTTTGACAAGGAGGTCATTGTTGGTAATGGTGATGGTGCTCAGAGCTACCTGTTCCATTAAGGTGAAGCAGTGGCTTACGGGATGCAAGAGTGTGTGCGTTTGTGTGCTTGCGTATCACAGTGATTGAATGAGAGCAGTTAAATGACTGTGTCCTCAACTTAGCAAGTCTGGTTGTCTCTCAATCATTAACATTATTGCAGTCTTGGTTAATCTTAGTTTGTCCTAACAGCACAGGCACATACAGCCTCAGACACAAATAACCCAAACAGGACTTTTCTTTCTGAGATGCATGCAGATTCTATTAATACAACACCACACCCAGAGACGAATATAGAACGTCTGTTATTTTTTTTCCTCTCCACAGCTAAATTTACCTTATATGTTTCATTTTCTTTTGAAATTCTGTGTCTTGTCCGGTTATTGAACTGACCACGGGCTGTGTTTATGACAGGCCACCTGTTACTTCTCTCTTTATACTGTTAGAGTTCAAGATTCACCCCAGCTATTGCTTGTACTTTCATTCCCTTGGGAGTCAAAGCACAAGAGAGAGGGCGTGAGTGTTTACTGCTCCGGTCAACTGAAGCCCTGATGTTTACGCTCTTAAGCGCGCAAGTAGTTTGTGTAGCAGCTATAACATAGAGTGCATTTTATATGAGGGATGACACACGGCTCCCTGCGGAAGGTAAAAGAGCATATGTGAACTGTGCTGCTCATGAAATCCTGACAGATTGATTATACACTGCAGCAGGTGGTGCAGGTTAATGATTTTCCTCTTCAGGACCATTCAGCAAAGTGAGACACTATTAATGAGCATGTGGAGATGTTTAACCCACATGTGCCCGTCTTTTATGCTAAATGAGACATAGTTTAAACTTTTGAGGAAGAGAGATTTAGGGTTACACTGGGTGCTAGGGTGGTGCAGATAAAAAAGTGTGACAGCATAATGCTACTCTGATGTCATTTATAAGTTAGTGTTAATAGTGTTTTGTTTAGGAGGACTTATAATATACGAGTTTTCACCTTGAATATTTATCAGAGTCATTTTGCATTAGTCACGGTTCAAAATGAGTCTTATTTATCTCATGCTGGGGCGCTCAGTTTGCCACCCACTGTCTGAAACAAGCTGTTTTAGCTGCTCTCCCTTTAAGGTCACCCTCCCTTTTTTTTTGAACCAGCCCATATTATATATATATACACTGTATATACACTTTAAATTCATTGTATAGTACAATTATGACAACTGAGGCTGTGCTGTTTGAAAGACAGATATTTGACTTAGCTTGTGGGTCTAAATTGTCAAACAGAAAGTGAAACTATGCTTCTATTAAAACACATGGCTTTCTATCATTTATAACTGTTCTCAGTTACTTTCCTCTTAGGTCTTTAACCAGATATGACATCATTATTATTCCAATCACTTTAAGCATATTTGCACTGCACAAGACACTAAATAATGTGGATTGCACAACACTGGACATTATATTCCTCATTTCCAGTTAATACTTGTACAGCTGCTGTTATTGTGTATATATATATATTTCTATTTCTTCATACATTCTTATATATTTCTATACTGTGTATTGTGTATTTTGTTGTACAGTTATTTTATTTTCAACTTTAATTTATATATTTTATCTTATTCTTTCCCAGTTAAATTTACCCTTCATTCTAATTTGTGTTGTACAGTTATCTCATTTTAACTTAATTTTTATATTTTATTTTATTTGATTCCTTCCTAGTTAAATTTACCCTTTTTAATTTTCATATTTATTTGCTATCTTATTCATAGCCTTTTCTTTTTTTCTTTAGGTCACGAGCAGTTGTCTAAGCATTTCACTGCATATCGTACTGTGTATGAGTGTATGTGACAAATAAAATTTGAATTTGAATTTGAAAATTATTAGTACAATGTCAAACTGTAACCATAGTAGAGTCCTGTAGTTACAATGGGCCTCCAGCACACTTGTTGTTAGTCATAGATTTGTAGCCGATTTAATGTTATAAAACCAGCACAACAAGTTCATATCAGTCAGTAATAAATCGAACTCATCATGTCTTCTACTCAGAAGCTATTTGGTCATTTTTAGGTTGCATATTTGGTGAGTTTGTGGTCAGCTGTCCATACAATGAGTCTCACTTTGCCACAGAACATAACAGAAAAACCATATGACTGCTTTCTCTTTAACATTGGAATTTTACTGGCCAGCAACGCTGTGGTGGGGGAAGATGATCTGTGGGTACGTGTCTTTGTACTGGCTTGTGTCTGTGCATGAATATTTGCGGCTTCACCTAGTTTGGTGGTAAAATGAGCAAAATTGTAATATACGCAAATTTGCCCAAATTTTTCAGCATACAAAAATCTATTACACTGGAAAAATATCTCATTAATATTTGAATAACTTGGTTTTTCTCCCAGTTTTAATAATTCCTCCTAAATTTATGTAGGTTTGATTGTGCCCGTTTCAGGTAACAGAAAATTGATATCGCGCATGTTTCCTCGCGAGACTTGCGTATTTCTTTAATAACATGGCTTGATTTATGGCTAACTTGACCATGTTACATCGACCGGACCTATTAAGTGGGTTTGGTGGAGCGTAGGGGGCAACTGCAGGCACACCTGGGGGTCGTAAAATTGTAACCCTCCTGGATGGATCGCTGTAGAGTGAATCAACATGAAATCCTTCATAACAACAGTCTCGTAGATAGTGATTTACCTCATCGTTAAAATGAAACAGTGGAAGAGTTTTAAATATATTTTTAGAATTATTTTATTAAGAATGTTCTAGTATTGACTCAATTTGATCTTTATTAATATGTATTTATTTATTTTTGGATCACTGCCCCTGTATGTTCTAGGGTAGACCTCAGTAATCTAAACCCTGAGTGATATGGATCTATCTGCCAGTGTGATGCCCCTCCTTTTTCTCTCTTACTCCCTCTCATGCACACTTTTTGCTGCTAACACTGAGCGGGAGAGGACTGGAACATTGAGTACCTTCAGCACATTTTTCACATTCCCCTTTGAGGGTCTCAACTACAGCCCCCACTGCATGCACACACTTCAGCATACACAACCACTCGCGTTTCTCACCAGTGGGCATTAATGGTATTGTCATATGTTTTGTCTGTGCCACCAATTGAGGACTCGTCAATCTTGACACGTGCTTGTCAAAACTGTGTGTCATGTTTATTTCGGTCATCGTACTAACCTGCACCTTTTCCTCTCTCCAGCAGCGGCGGTTGTGTGTGAGTGTGTGGTTGAGCTGCAGCTGCGAACATGACGGAGTATAAGCTGGTGGTGGTGGGAGCTGGAGGCGTGGGCAAGAGTGCACTTACCATACAGCTGATCCAGAACCACTTTGTGGATGAATATGACCCCACAATAGAGGTATGACGTGCTTCTACGTGTTAGTTATCTTTAGATGAAGTATTTCCCCCTGAACGGTTGTGTGCTTCTGCGACATTCTTTAAAATGGTTCATGTGCAGTCTTTGCATAATTAGATGTTTTATATAAATGTCCAACCCCACAGTCTAAACCAAGTTACTTTAATTAATTAACTTCTGTGGCAATCCTCCAAATGACAAGGCTTGAAAGAAATCCATAATTTCAGAAAAGAGAAAAGCACTTTCTCCACCTTTAACTCAATATTTTCCTGAGGAAAAAGACACTGGAATATATTGCAGAGCGAAGAGGAAGGCCAGTGAGAATGTCTTCTCCTGTCTTTTCTCCCCTTTTTCTCCCTCTCTATCCCTCTCTTTCTCACCACGCCTGCCTCTGGCCAGACAATGTCCTTTTTGTGTATTTGCATTCCTGGCCCCTATGCTCTAACAAACAAAGGGACTGCACTCCCATGTTTTTGTGACTGCATGTTGGAAGGCTAAACATTGGCTCTGATACCCTGGTCCTCTGATCTCTTGATTTTCATTTGACCTGAAAGTGAGGAGGGAATTTAACAAAGTAACCTAAGTTGATTAGAGTCAGTCACTGACATAGTGTCCCTGTAGTATACTTCTTTGCCCTGAGTGACCCAGGGTAAGAATCTGCAACGGACCACCGGTTACATTACGGTGAACTATCAGTTTTGTGTGATGTCTTTAGCACTTCGCTAAAAGTGCAAGTTTGTCTTTTTCTGCAGGACTCATACAGGAAGCAGGTTGTGATCGACGGGGAGACCTGCCTGTTGGACATCCTGGACACTGCAGGTCAAGAGGAGTACAGCGCCATGAGGGATCAGTACATGAGGACGGGAGAGGGCTTCCTTTGCGTCTTCGCCATCAACAATACCAAGTCTTTTGAGGACATTCACCAGTATAGGTGTGTCTAAGAGTAATGCAAAGAAAGAGAACTGGAAAATGTGCACCTCTGTATTTCTTGGCCAGACCGTAGGCCTGTTGGGGTGGAGCTCCGGTGCTAAATCATGTCTGTTAGCTTCTCTGGATGTGCATATGCAGTGTGTGTTACAGGGACTCCCGTGGGGTCTGCAGGAAAAGGGCTTTATATACGTGTGTGCCAGCTCTCTGCAGTAGTTGATGATGTCATGCTGTAGCGTTTAACACGGCTAAAGAAAGCTTAGCTCCCAACTGGAGGCTTACAGCACGATGCCAATGAAATCGATCCTGACTCAATTAGAGAAGCAGGGAGAGGTAGCGCTCCCAAGGACAGGGAAGGAGAAAGGGAGGGTGGGGGTGAGAGTTTCAGCTGGAAGTGACAGTGTTTTCTCTCTTTGCCACATTTGGTCTTTCTCATCACATTAGGCACCCACTTGCTGGTCTTGCATGAGGCTACACTTTAAGTCACAGGTTTCCAGAGTGTGTAAATGTACATTTGTTTGGCCTGTTGCCATTGCAACTCAGCTGTTTTGGACTCTGCTTTAACATAACTGCTCTTAAACCATACAGGTATGCAGTGCACTTTGGCTCAGTGCCCAGTTAAATGTTTTGAGTTATCTAAACATCTGCTGCCTGTATTTACAGGTAACAATTGTTTGTGACAAGAAATACAATACAATACAACTTTATTTGTATGGCACATTTAACAGACTAGTGGTACACCAAAGTGCTTTACAATAAAAACAGGAAAATTAAGACAATAAATAAAAGACTATTAACAAAGCACCACATATGTCATCAGGTTAAAGGCACTAATTATACAACAATAAAAGGGAATATAAGAACAAAGTTACTAAGAACAGATATAGCTAAAAGATAAAGTACATAAATAAGAAATTGAACCAAATATAAAACAGGGACGCTAACTAGATGGAAAAGCTATGTTGAATAAATGAGTTTTTAAACGGGATTTAAAAGATAAAACGGAGTCTGACGCACGGATAGCGATAGGAAGGTTGTTCCACAGATTCGGTGCAACCAGGGCAAAAGCACGGTCACCCCTAGATTTAAGTCTAGATCTGGGCTGAGCCAGGAGTAATTGGGCTGAAGACCTGAGGGCATATAGACTAAGAAGATCTGCAAGATAACGAGGGGCTAAATTATATATAATTTTAAAGGTGAGCAACAATATTTTAAATTCGATGCGATGCCCACAAAGTAAAACCCACAAAAACTTTCCCCCCACTATCAGTGCTGACTAGCGCTACATGGCAGAGCAGTGTTCATCCATGTACAAAAACACCAAATAAAGACCAATCCACAACTCTTTAAAGCTAAACTTTAAGCACTCGCCTTAATACCAGGTATACAGGTATCTGTGGTTTAATAGGGTAACTTGTTTGCTTTAACATCAAAACTCAGAGCAAGTGTGGTCATAATTACCATTGGCAGTACTGACTGCAGATGGGTTTGGCTGACTGTACTGCAGGCTATACTGGGGCTGATTGAGAAGAAAGGCTGGGCTGATGGAGTGATCTGACCCTCTCCTCTCACTCAGTCCCCCCTGGCTGCATGGCATTTGGCACTTGCTGCTGTAGTGATGAGGTAATGCTGTTTGCCGCCTGCCTGTTGTCCACCCACCCTCCCTCCTTCAGCAGTGCAGCACAGCCCAGCACCGGTAGGCACTAGCTCTTCCTCTGGGTCCTAAAGTTCCCCGGGTGGTTGGTTCTCCAGGGGTGGAGCAGTTGATGATGCTGGGAGGATCTCAGCCAACAGACATGTAACTGTGGCTAAATAAAGTGCTTGGATGTATCAAGGAACAAAAATAATAATAAGGAAATGAAATAAATAAACTAAATTTTCTTGTTTTGCAACGCAGAGAACAGATTAAACGTGTTAAGGATTCCGATGATGTTCCCATGGTCCTTGTGGGAAACAAATGTGACCTCCCTGCGCGCACGGTGGACACGAGGCAAGCCCATGAGCTCGCTCGCTCCTATGGCATCCCCTACATTGAGACCTCTGCCAAAACACGGCAGGTAAGCAGTTTACATAAAGTAAAGAGCAACATAAAGTTTTTCCGCAGAGGAATACTTTTCTCGTGCCCTGCCTCTTTTATTGGTGTTTGAATCTTTAAAATTCCTCATATGCTAATTTTGCTGCATCATTATGTTATCTGCAGGTTATGTCAGTGTTCTTATTTAGGCTGTGTAATTTCACATTTTGCAAAAATATTCATGCGCATCTTACAGCAGACCATGCGCTATGATGTGATTTGTGTTGCTGGGAACATTTTATTATGCTGCAGGCAGTGACTCATAGCCAGGTTACCTTGGCTTGAGAACAGAGCTACAGTATTTGAAAGGGCTCATAAGGACCAGTTGCCTCACAGCTCCCACTGTCTGTGACTCACTGTGACACATTATGTAGGTACATACATACTCGCATTCATCGCTACACCTGCAGAATATCTGTCACTCAAAAGGAAATGCAAGAAGTAAAGTAATGCAGTCTTTTTAGTCATTATGATTTCTTGACAATGTATTTAATAATTCTCAGTGCTCGCAATGATTAAGGTTGTCATGGTAATGTTGCCAATTGGTGAGAACACCTAAAAGCTTTGCTGTCAGTCAGAAGACGTGCATTTAATATACTTGACTTGAAAGGGAGCATTTTAAGTGCCTGGATTTTTCTGTAACATTTTTGTGTGTTTGACGTGTGTTTACAGGGAGTAGAGGACGCCTTCTACACACTGGTTAGAGAGATCAGGCAGCATAAGTTGAGGAAGTTGAACCCACCCGATGAGAGTGGTCAAGACTGTATGAGCTGTCGCTGTGTGGTGTCGTGATGCAGGTGAGAAATTATATACACAGTAATGGTCACCAAATCAGTTTGCAAAGCTAAGTTGTGAATGCATGGAATGATGGAATTCACTGGCTTTGGGGAGGGTTTACCTTTAAAGGGACATATCATTACAAGTTAATACAAAGTTGTTCACCTTTATCCTGTTAGGGTGGGAGCTGGCCTCTTCCAGGCTGACAAAGCCCCCAACCATAGAGTACAAGCAGCCACTGATTGATGAGTATGAAAATGATGTTATATGCTATTGTAACTAGAGCAGGGCGATATGACCAAAAATATTTATCA